CCTCTATGCCCACTTTCTGGAGAGTTTTTATCATAAATGGGTGTTGAATTTTGTCAAAAGCTTCTTCTGCATCTATTGAGATGATCATATGATTTGTATTCTTCATTTTGTTAATATGGTGTATCACACTAATTGATTTGCGTATATTGAAGAATCCTTGCATCCCTGAGATAAGTCCCACTTGATCATGGTGTAAGATCCCTTCAATGTGTTGTTGGATTCTGTTTGCTAATATTTTGTTGAGGATTTTTGCATCTATATTCATCAGTGATATTGGTCTGTAGTTTTCGCTTTTTGTAGTATCTTTGTCGGGTTTTGGTATCAGCGTGATGGTGGTCTCACAGAATGAGTTTGGGAGTGTTCCTTCCTCTGCAATTTTTTGGAAGAGTTTGAGAAGGAAGGGTGTTAGCTCTTCTCTAAATGTTTGATAGAATTCATCTGTGAAGCCATCTGGTCCTGGACTTTTGTTTGTTGGAAGATTTTAAATCACAGTTTCAATTTCATTACTTTTGACTGGTCTGTTCATATTTTCTATTTCTTCCTGGTTCAGTCTTGCAAGGTTATTCCTTTCTAACAGTTTGTCCATTTCTTCCAGGTTGTCCATTTTATTGGCATAGAGTTGTTAGTAGTAGTCTCTTAGGATGCTTTGTATTTCTGAGGTGTCTGTTGTAACTTTTCATTTCTAATTTTATTGATTTCAGTCCTCTCCCTCTTTTTCTTGATCAGTGTGGCTAATGGTTGATCAATTTTGTTTATCTTCTCAAAGATCCAGCTTTCAGTTTTATTGATCTTTGCTACTGTTTTCTTTGTTTCTATTTCATTTATTTATGCTCTGATCTTTATGATTTCTTTCCATCTGCTAACTTTGGTTTTTGTTCTTCTTCCTCAAGTTCCTTTAGGTGTAAGGTTAGATTGTTTATTTGATATTTTTCTTGTTTCTTGAGGTAGGCTTGTATAGCTATAAACTTCTTTCTTAGAACTGCTTTTGCTTCACACCATAGGTTTTGGATCGTTGTGTTTTCACTGTCATCTGTCTCTAGGTATTTTTTCATTTCCTCTTTGATTTCTTCAGTGATCTCTTGGTTATTTAGTAACGTATTGATTACCCTCCATGTGTTTGTGTTTTTTACATTTTTTTCCCTGTTCTAATCTCATAGCATTGTGGTCCAAAAAGATGCTTGATAGGATTTAATTTTCTTACATTTACTGAGGCTTGATTTGTGATCCAAGATGTGATCTATCCTGGAGAATGTTCCGTGCACACTTGAGAAGAAAGTGTAATCTGCTGTTTTTGGATGGAATGTCCTCTAAATATCAATCAAATCTATCTGGTCTGTTGTGTCATTTAAAGCTTCTGTTTCCTTATGTAGTTTCATTTTGGATGATCTGTCCATTGGTGTAAGTGAGGTGTTAAAGCTCCCCACTATTACTGTGTTACTGTCGATTTCCACTTTTATAGCTGTTAGCAGTTGCCTTATGTACTGAGGTGCTCCTATGTTGGGTGCATATATATTTATAATTGTTATATCTTCTTCTTGGATTGATCCCTTGATCATTATGTAGTGGCCTTCCTTGTCTCTTGTAACATTCTTTATTTTAAAGTCTATTTTACCTGATATGAGTATTGCTACTCCAGCTTTCTTTTGATTTCCACTTGCACGGAATATCTTTTTCCATCCCCTCACTTTCAGTCTGTATGTGTCCCTAGGTCTGAAGTGGGTCTCTTGTAGACAGAATATAGATGGGTCTTGTTTTTGTATCCATTCAGCAAGACTCTGTGTTTTGGTTGGAGCATTTAATCCATTTATGTTTAAGCTAATTATCGATATGTATGTTCCTATGACCATTTTCTTAATTGTTTTGGGTTTGTTTTTGTAGGTCCTTTTATTCTCTTGTGTTTCCCACTTCGAGAAGTTCCTTTAGCATTTGTTGTAGAGCTGGTTTGGTGGTGCTAAATTCTCTTAGCTTTTGCTTGTCTGTAAAGCTGCTGATTTCTCCATCGAATCTGAATGAGATCCTTGCTGGGTAGAGTAATCTTGGTTGTAGATTCTTCCCTTTCATCACTTTAAGTATATCATGCCACTCCCTTCTGGCTTGTAGAGTTTCTGCTGAGAAATCAGCTGTTAATCTTATGGGAGTTCCCTTGTATGTTATCTGTTGTTTTTCCCCTGCTGCTTTCAATAATTTTTCTTTGTCTTTAATTTTTGCCAATTTGATTACTATGTGTCTCGGCGTGTTTCTCCTTCGGTTTATCCTGTACGGGACTTGCTGCGCTTCCTGGACTTGGGTGGCTACTTCATTTCCCATGTTAAGGAAGTTTTCAACTATAATCTCTTCAAATATTTTCTCTGGTCCTTTCTGTCTGTCTTTTCCTTCTGGGACCCCTATAATGCGAATGTTGCTGCGTTGAATGTTGTCCCAGAGGTCTCTTAGGCGGTCTTCATTTCTTTTCATTCTTTTTTTCTGTATTCTGTTCTGCAGCAGTGAATTCCACCATTCTGTCTTCCAGCTCACTTATCCTTTCTTCTGCCTCAGTTATTCTGCTATTGATTCCTTCTAGTGTAGTTTTCATTTCAGTTATTGTATTGTTCATCTCTGTTTGTTTGTTCTTTAATTCTTCTAGGTGTTTGTTAAACATTTCTTGCATCTTCTCGATCTTTGCCTCCATTCTTTTTCCGAGGTCCTGGATCATCTTCACTATCATTATTCTGAATTCTTTTTCTGGAAAGTTGCCTATCTCCACTTCATTTAGTTGTTTTTCTGGGGTTTTATCTTGTTCCTTCATCTGGTACATAGTCCTCTGCCTTTTCATTTTGTCTATCTTTCTGTGAATGTGGTTTTTGTTACACAAGCTGCAGGACTGTTGTTCTTCTTGCTTCTGCCATGTGCCCTCTGGCGGATGAGGCTATCTAAGAGGCTTGTGCAAGTTTCCTGATGGGAGGGACCGGTGGTGGGTAGAGCTGACTGTTGCTCTGGTCGGCAGAGCTGAGTAAAACTTTAATCTGCTGGACTGCTGATGGCTGGTGCCGGGTTCCCTTCCTGTGGGTTGTTTGGCTTGAAGCAACCCAACACTGGAGCCTACCTAGGCTCTTTGGTGGGGGTAATGGCAGACTCTGAGAGGGCTCACACCCAGAACTTCTGCTGCCAGTGTCCTTGTTCCCATGGTGAGCCACAGCCACCCCCCGCCTCTGCCGGAGACCCTCCAACACTAGCAGGTAGGTGTGGTTCAGTCTCCCCTGGGATCACTGCTCCTTCCCCTGCGTCCCGATTTGCACACTACTTTCTGTGTGCCCTCCAACAGTGGAGTCTCTTTCTCTAGTCCCGTCGAAGTCCTGCAATCAAATCCCACTAGGCTTCAAAGTCTGATTCTCTAGGACTTCCTCCTCCTGTTGCCGGACCCCCAGTTGGGAAGCCTGACGTGGGGCTCAGAACCTTCACTCCAGTGGGTGGACTTCTGTGGTATAAGTGTTCTCCAGTCTGTGAGTCACCCACCCAGCAGTTATGGGATTTGATTTTATTGTGATTGTGCCCCTCGTACCATCCCACTGTGGCTTCTCTTTTGTCTTTGGATGTAGGATATCTGTTTTGGTGAGTTCCAGTGTCTTCCTCTCAATGACTGTACCTCAGCTAGTTGTGATTCTGGTGTTCTCACAAGAGGGAGTGAGAGCACGTCCCTCTACTCCGACATCTTGGTTCAGGGCCCATCTTTCTTTCAATTCTACTGGAGAACTACTTGTTAGGGAACCACTGACTGAAACTGCCCACACTGGATAGGCACGATAACCACTTGCATGACTTACTGTACAATAGGAGATCCTGGTAAGGAATGTGGAACTAACGAAGTACCACCAATTGGAAGAATCTGAGAAAGGTCAAAAGGAGAGAGGAGATGCCAGTCCATTTGTCCTACCAACCTCCCAGAATCCTTCTTGCTGGAATCCATCTTGGCTGAGAGATGTGCACGCCACCAGGAAGAACCATGAGCAGAATGATTGGCTAGAGACAACCTGGAAACTAACTACATCACCATAAAACCTGAGACTGTGAGCCACGTGGCAGAGTACTTCTCCTGGGTTCCCCCTCTGCTGCTCTCCACCCAGGTGCCTCTTCCCACTAAAGTCTCTTGCTTTGTCAGCATGTGTGTCTCTGTGGACAATATATTTCTGAGTGTTAAGAGCCCACTCTTGGCCCTGGAATGGGTGTCCCTTCCTGCAACAGTTTCGCTCCTTTGTTATGTATACCTAAAAAAATCAGCAGACTGGGGGCACTCTCCAGTCATTGTGTCAATCAAAATTCCCTTCTTAAATTTCCAAATGCCCCTGTAGAGATGGACATTTGTCTCCAACTGAATACATCTTCTTAAATAAAAGGGACTGTAAGAGGCCAGCAAATGGTACTGAGGTTTCTGGTCTAGGAGAGTTTTGAAAGTATTTAAAATCTTTGACATGGTATCCCCATTAGTCCATCCTACTAGTCCAAAAAATGAAAGTCCTCTTGCTGAGTGAAATCACTTTGTTTCTCTAAAATTTCCATTAAAAATAAGCTGGCCCAAGAGAATGAAAAAGACAAATTTTTATTATTTATTTATTTATTTGATAGGAAAGGGGAAGATATTTTAATGGGGGAAAAAGGAATGAGTGAAGAGACTGCCTGTAAACATTTATCTAGCATAGTAACTAGCACATCCAGAAGTCAACAACGTTTTTTGAGTAGAGTACAGAAGTCCCTGTACTCATGGTAATGGACAATGAGGGGCAATGCATGGCTACCCAGGTATTTATGGTTATTTATTTATTTTATCAAGATCACTGTGAGTTGTAGAGACATGAGCTTTTTACTATATAAACATCTGGCAAATCAAAGACAAATCAAATCAACTTACGCTTTGTAAACTAACCATTTTAAAGATAATCATTGCTTGAAAGAATCCCTCAATTACATTTTGATGTTTGTAGATATACAATCAAATTGTAAATTATGAAGAGAAAAGAAAGCCTTACCAAATAATTGATGACATAAAATCGGTCATATTCTCTGTTCTTAGGATTGATCCTACGATGCTGTTTTTTCCTCATGTGATCTTTAAGTGTAGTTTTGTCCCTGAAGGTCTTCTCACAGTACAAGCACTGCAAGCTACAAGAAAGACACAAATGCTGAGATTAAATAAGTCTCTCGAATAGTTGTTGCAATAGCCCTTTATTATTATTGGGTCTCATAATTTATTCATTTTAGGACTCACAGAATCTTCAAATGGGATATGATATCCTTCTGGAATCCCTCTCATTTTATTCATTTGGCTTCAGAGGATGCATGCTGTGGTTTATTTTGTAGTTGGCTAACTTGGCCAACTTGGCTATTTAGTTAAAACTGTGATATAGATAGCAATTATCCAAAAATGATTTTGGTGCTTTACTAATCGAATTACCTATTCTAAAAATGAAAATGTAGGTATGTTCTTCAAATAAATATATGATAACTAGCATTGGCTGCCTCCATTGAGTATAACAATTAGTCCATGGTTTGGTATATCCTGTGACCTAATTTGCAGGTCTGATTCCTAGCACCAGCTGTGGGACTTGGTCAAGTTACTTGACCCCTCTGTTACCACTCATTTTCTGCTCTCTAACCTGATGATAAAACCTACATTTTAGAGAATTTTTACAATAATGTATACATATATTTGCACATAAATTCATAATCATGATAATAATTCACATAAAATATATGTATACATGTTTAATTTATTGATATGTATACAAATAAAATACCTAGCACATTCATAGCATAAAGTAAGTGCTATTTTTACTATCTTATCATTCACATGTATCTTCTGCTGAACATTTCCACTGACTGGGAATTCATTACCTAATGCAGTAATGACGAGTTTTGAACAGATTACTAACAAAATGTCTTTCTCATACTAAGCTTGACAGTTGATACTGCCTGGATTACCCAACAGCCATTAGAGTTCTACTTTCTGGAGTAACACAGAATAAGTATACATGAAAACTTATTCAAAAACCAAAACTCTGATGTTTTGGTTTGTTTGGCCTCACTGTGTGTTGGGCACATGAACTTGGGTTCGACAACAAAATGACTGAAATCAGTTGTTGTTTCTATTCTGAATTCTTTTTCATCTTTACTAAACACCCTTTCAATTATTTCTTATACCACAGAAGTAACTATATTCTTTTATAGTAAACAATTTATGGGCAATAAGTTGATTAGGGATATCATTACTGCTAATCTTGCTAGAAAGCACACCTGGTATTATTATTATTATTATTATTATTTTTTTTTTTTTTGCTGTATGCGGGCCTCTCACTGTTGTGGCCTCTCCCGTTGCGGAGCACAGGCCCCGGACGCGCAGGCCCAGCGGCCATGGCTCACGGGGGCAGCCGCTCCGCGGCATGTGGGATCTTCCCGGACCGGGGCACGAACCCCCGTCCCCTGCATCGGCAGGCAGACTCCCAACCACTGCACCACCAGGGAAGCCCTGGTATTATTTTATAAATGAATGGTTATTCAATAAAAGAGTGAAGAGACTTGTTTTAATGTATTGTTGATACCAGAATTTGAATTCAGACCTTTTTATAATGGGTATTTCTTTCTCAATGTTATTGCTCCAAATGTTGTGGTCTGAGATACCACATTCATTAGTATTGTATCAAATGAATAAAACTAGGTTTTGAGAGTAAAATCTTGGGCCCTTTCCTAGAAAGAAAAGAGGATAGATTTTTGAAAGCCATTTTGGTGACGTAGAGAATTTCCTTCCCTATTTCTACAAGCTCAACTCTAGATACTCACAGTTGCCAGAATATGACCTTGAGAAAAGTGGAGTGTTATGATATATAAATGCGAATAAATACTAAAAGGTAAAAGAATGCAATCAGTATGTTATGTTTCACATAAAACTGAATAACATCTAGCAATGTGACAATATATTTACTTTATTAAATGTGTAGAAAAATTATAGAGAAAAGTAATTATGAATCCGAAATGAAGAATAGTGGTTTCTGGGGGAGATACTAATGAGGAAGGGCACACAGGGAGATTCAAAGGAAATAATAACATTCTCTTTCTTAGGCTGGTTAAGTATATTTTTCATACCCTATATAATAACATACCTTATAATGGCATATACATTGTTTGGTACATATGACATTCATATTTTAAAACTACTAAAAGGCAATATGATCTACAAAAAATAAGGATTGTCATACAAAATGTGAACTCCTCCAACATGAGAAATGAGAAAATTCCATTTCTTGAGTTACTTCTGACTATTAAATTAATTTTTAAAAATTCACAACAGAATCCAAGATTGAGACAGCTTCAGGTCGTGTTTCATAAAAAAGTACTTACTTGTCAAGCTTTTTCTGTATTGTACACAGAAATTCACTGCAGTTTACAATGTTGTCTGGCAACCCAATGTTGAAAGTGTGTTCTCTGGCCATGTGGTTCAAAAGAACAGATCTAGGAAGAAATTTGAGCAATTTGCATTCTTTACAACTTATCTAGGAACAAATCAGGTCATGAGTAGTGTTTGTATAATGATAACAACACTAATTAGAAGTACAAGCAAAGGTTAATAAACACTGAAACACACATTTGGGCTATGAACGAGTGACATGTTATAAAATAAGTATGCATATAAACACTATCATATGAAAAGAAAGTCAACAGAAACTGTTGCTGAGGAAGCCCAAATGTTGGACTTGTCAGACAAAGACTTTAAATCACACAATAAGAATATGTGTAAAGAATTAAGGAAAACGGTGTCTAAAGAATCAAAAAAAGTTATGAGAATAATATCTTATAAAAAAGAGGATACTAATAAAAAAACAGAAATTAAAAAAAAACATACAAATCTGGAGATGAAATGTACAGTAACTGAAATGAAAAATTCACTAGAAGGTCTCAAAAGAAAAACTGAACTGGCAGAACAAAGAACCAATGAACTTGAATATCAATTTAGATTTTCTAGTCTGTGGAAAAGAAGAAAAAAGAATGAAGAAAAATAAATTGAGCCTCAGACACCATCCCATCTACCAATATCTGTATAATAGGATTCCCAAAAGGCAAAGAAAGATAGGGGAAGAAAGAATATTTGAAGAAATAATGGCCAAAAACTTCCCAAATTTGATGGAAAGCATTAATCCAAACAGAAGCAGCCCAATAAACTTCAAGTATAATAAATCAGAGAGACCCATACCAAGAAAAAATATGAAGATGAAATCAAGACAGGTCCCAGATAACAAAAGCTGAGAAAATTCACTGCTAACAGACCTGCCCAACAAGAAACTAAAAGAAGTCCTCTGGGCTAAAATGAAAGGATGCTAGATAGTAACTCAAACATACATAAAGAAGTAAAAATCTCCAGTAAAAGTAATTACACAGTCAAAAATAAAAGGCAGTATTAAATGAATTACTGTTTACAAATCTTTTCTTCCCATATCTGATGTAAAAATAACTGCACGAAGTAACGATTTTAAAGATATGTTAATGAGCTTATAATGTATAAAGATGTAGTTTGTATGACAACAATAGCACAAAGGAGCGGGGAAAGAACTAGCTATGTTGGAGCAAAGTTTTTGTATACTGTTGAAATTACGTTGGTATTAATCTGAACTCAATTGTTTTAAGTTAAAATGTTAGGGGCTTCCCTGGTGGCACAGTGGTTGGGAGTCCGCCTGCCAATGCAGGGGACATGGGTTTGGGCCCTGGTCTGGAAGAATCCCACATGCCGTGGAGCAGCTAGGCCCATGAGCCACAACTGCTGAGCCTGTGCTCTAGAGCTTGCGAGCCACAACTACTGAGCCCTTGTGCCACAGCTACTGAGGCTGCACGCCTAGAGCCCGTGCTCCCCAACAAGAGGTCACCGCGATAAGAGGCCTGCGTACCACAATGAAGAGTAGCCCCCACTCGCTGCAACCAGAGAAAGCCCATGCGCAGCAATGAAGGCCCAGTGCAGCCAAAAATAAATAAATTTATAAAAAAAAAATAAATAAAATGTTAATTGTAATCTCCAGTGAATTGTAGTGGATAGTGAATGGGCCACTATGAAAATAACTCAAAAAATATAGTAAAAGAAACAAGGGAAAAAAAATGGTACACTAGAAAATATCTATTTAACAAAAAAGAAGGCAGTAATGGAGGGGAGAAATTAAAAAAAAAAACTTAAAACATAAAGAAAACAAACAGCAAAATGGTCTAAGTAATCCCATCTCATCAGTAATTACATTAAACATAAATTAGATACTCCAACCAAAAAGCAGAGATTAGCAGAATGGATTAAAAAACATGATCCAACTATATGCTGTTTACAGGAGACACATTTTAGATTAAGGTTGAAAGAAAGAGCTTCATACATTCCAGAGTCAAAAGTGTACAGGAGAGGGGAAATAGATGTAGGATAGCAAGAAAGTACTTATTCTTCTATCCTTATCATTAACCCATGTCCTTTGTCTTTCTATTCTTTTTATGTCTCTAGGCTGGGAGGACACAAATATAATCCCAAAATATTGCTAATAAAGTACATAGCTGGAATCAGGTTATATATTTAATCTTTTATTATAAACTGACCTTTTCATAAACAAGAACTGCAAAAGGGGACATTTTATAAAAATGAGATGCTGCTTATCTTTGTCATTGGTTAATTTCTTAAAAATTTCATTTATTAGAGAACAATGACATAGTCAATCAAAACTACTGAGGAGTTCACTTAATTCCCATGTCACCCCAGTCAACAGAGAATACAGATACAGGTAGAAAAGAACAGGAGGATTATATTAGGAATTATAGGAGCACCAATATTCAGTAAGTTGAAATACCAATATTATCAGAATTTCATATCATATGGACATATACTTCAAATCATATCAGTCCCTACATTTATCATAAAAACTTAAGCTTTATGTAAATATAAAATATTTTTATAAAATAAACTTTATATAAATATAAAAATATTTATAGCTTTTTAATACTAGAGATTCCTAATAATAATCACACATCTCCTCACTAGGTTAATAATAGTTTTAACATAAAATCTGAAATAACATGCTAAAAAGAAGTAGCAATGCTTGGTAAACTTTTTGATAGTGAGGTGGTCCTCACTGCCATCCTCATAAAGCCCTTTGAAACTGACAGGGTTAGAAGCATAATTAGTGACCCTGGCACAGATTTTTCTCTATGCTAACTGATCTATATGAGAATCAAATCTTCATCACTGGTGTTTTCAACATTATGCTTCATCCAAACCCTTTTCTAAATTCAAACAAATAGCTACCCTCTCCTCTTCAATGTTTTTCAGACAACGATGTCAGTTTGTGCTAGGCTTTTCTTTTTTTTTTTAGAAACTAAAGACTGCTTTCATTCAAGTGGGTGGGAGAATGATATTTTTCTGATTGTCCATTGTATGCTGTCACTGAAACTATTCCCATTCCTAGAGGTTACAACTTCATGACTTATATTTAAGTGAATGTACATTTGTAAATATTACTGTTGCATAAAAAGAAATTTGTCTGATCTTTGTCCCTGGTTCCAGGCACTGAGCTTCAAAAATCCTTGGAATTTCTCTATGATAAGATTACCTTTGCTAATAAAGTGACTTGTGGTAGGCCTCTAGAAAGCTTCAGGATGGGGACTGGTTACCAGAAAGACTAACAATGTGATCAAAGGGTTGGGACTTAGAGCCACCCTGACCTCCAGAAAGGAGAGAGGGGCGGGAGATTAAGTTCAATAATTAAATCAATCATGCTTAATGAAGCATGTAAAAATTCTGGATACCAAAACTCACTGAAGATTCTTGGTTGGTAAATACACTGATGTGCCAGGAAGATGATATATCCTGATTCTTTGAGGAGAAGGCATAGAAGCTCTGTGTTCAAGACCCATCCAGACCCTACTCTATGTGTCTCTTCATTTAACTGTTCCTTATCTGTATCCTTTATGATAAACACTTTCCTGAGTTTTGTGAGCCATTCTAGTGAATTAATGAACCTATGCAAATTATTGGTGGGAAGCCATGAATTCGTAGCCAGTTGGTCAAAAGTGCAGGTGTCCTGGGGAACCCTTAAACTTGTGGCTGGTGTCTGAAGTGTGGGCAGGCTTGTTGGGGATGATGCCCTTAAACCTGTAGAGTCTGATGCTAACTCTGGGTGGTTAGCATTAGAACTGAATTACAGTACACCAGTTTGTTTTGGGCCAGTTGGGGTTGGTGACAGAATTACCAATTTCCCATTTTTTCCCCCCTTAGATCTTTATCATTTTTAATGTTCAAAAGTGAAACACCAAAAACCGCTAAAGGGTTTTTTTTTTTGTCCACTCGGCTCAGCATCTGGGACCTTAGATCCCCAGCCAGGGATCAAACCTGTGGCCCCTGCAGTAGAAGCATAGAGCCTTAACCACTGGACTGCCAGGGAAGTCCCAGCCAAAGGTTTAGAGTTAACAGGTTAATACAGAAGGGCAAGCCTGTTGTAGTTTGCTGCATGTGGTCTTGCCTGTCGGACAATTTAAAAAGCCCTACAACGTTAAACACAATTCTATTTCTGGCATTTAAAAAATTTATCCCCCTACTCTGCTTAGAGCAACTACATTCCATCTTTGATGTCTGGTGGATTAAAAAAAATTACTGTGGATATATGAAAGGGTTCTGAGCCAATCCATAGAACTTAGTCTATATAGCCATTGTGGATGTTTTGGTAAGTCTTCAGATGAAAAACAGTAAAATTTAAAGACATACATAATTGCTACCTGTTTCCGAGGAATTCCTCATTGCAAAACATACAACTGCCTTGAAAATTGTTATCATTTCGTTCTTGTTGCTGTTGTTCCAGAATTTCTTTCTGCAAAACAGAAACACAGATATATGATATTATCTTTAATAAATCTATAGTTAGCTAATGAAAAATGTCATAGTCTAGATGGGAGGAAATTGGGGTAGAAGCATAAAAAGAAGTATGTGAACACTGATGATATTCTGAATTTCTCCATTCCTGTCCTTGTACCTAAACTCCAAGTCTATACTGTTAAATGCCAGACAACATACCATTAGGATAGCTATGTAGGAAACTTGAAGTCAATAGGGTCTCACCATCCTTCACTACTCTGTCCTTCCTCCTGTCTTTATTAATCATCTCCCAACCTCACTCTCTTCCAAAAGCAAAAATGTGCTCCTTTCTGTAATTCTCAGTTTAGTTTGTAATCAAGTTCTGATTAATTTTTCACTTGGACTGTCTTTCGTATTACTTCTCTCTACCATTCCCAATGCCATCACCCTGAATCCAGTCTTTAATCAGTCATTATGAGATTACTATAAGTAAGCCTCTTAGAGGGTCTGCCTTATTTCAATCCTTTTTTTCTACCATATCCATCCTCTCTTTTGTTGCTAGAAAAACTTAAAATTATTTTCATGTACAATTATCCTGTTACTCTCCAACTCAAATAATTTAAAATATACATTGGTAACACCCTATTCTAATCAGGGTGGTTCTTCTACACACTGTTTTCCCAGGAGGTAATTTTATTTCTCTTTGCTTTTTCACTCTTACAGATATTAATTGTTCTTTAAGGTCCAACTTGATTCCCATTTCTGCCATGTAGTCATTTCTGGACTACAATACAATAGTTAAGAGCTCAGACTCTGAAACATCAAACAGAACTAGATTTGAATCTGGCTCTCACCTGTACTCAATATTTTATTTAACATCTTTAATACTCAGTTTTCTCAATTTTAAGATGAAAATGAAAATATTACCTCATAGCATTGTTTATAGGATTAGATCAGAAATTTATGTAAAGAATTCAAATTGTGCATGTGTATGGTCAAGCCACTCAAGATGGCTGTTCTCTTGCTCTCTGTACATCCCCTGACCAACCAGTGCCTGCTTCACCTATACCCTACGCACATGACTGACCTTCCTGTGTACTTGCCCCAGGCCCCAGCTAGTGACTGTTCTCATCAAAGGGGCGCTGAGGGGTGTGCCCCTCTACTGGTTTCCCTGGTAACTAATGAGTTCACCTGATGTCAATTCCCCAATAACTGGTAACTTGCTTTACCATCATCTCTTTTGCTTGCTTTTATCTTCTAAACGGATATGAAAAATCTTTGAAATTAAAAGAAAGTCTTTATGCTGTTCCTATTTTACACCTGCATACGACTCTCCAGCTATTCTTATAACACGAAGCTCAAAACACAAACTTCATAAAGTTTATTGCTGATTCTGTAAATATCTGTAGGACAGCATAAAAAATGAGCTTGTATCTAGAAGCTTAATAAATTCCATGTGGCATTTCTAGAAATGTATCACCAAACATTTAGAAATATTAATCCACTGAAGAAAAAAAATTAAGAAGCTGCCAGGATAAAAATCAATTCAATCAACTTCTGGTTTCAGCCATGATGAAATAATGGATATAACACTTCTCCCCTTGTAAACTATTGTAAAACAAATTGCTTCATATATCTTATCTTTCTTCAGAAAATGTATAATAGGGACTTCGCTGGTGGCTCAGTGGTTAAGAATCCACCTGTCAGTGCAGGGGACAAAGGTTTGAGCCCTGGTCCAGGAAGATCCCACATGCCGTGGAGCAGCTAAGCCCGTGCGCCACAACTACTGAGCCTGCGCTCTAGAACTCGCGAGTGACAACTACTGAGCCTACGTGCCACAACTACTGAAGCTTGTGTGCCTAGAGTCTGTGCTCCGCAACGAGAAGCCACCACAGTGAGAAGCGTGCACACCACAACGAAGAGTAGACCCCGCTCACCGCGACTAGAGAAAGCCCACATGTAACAACTAAGACCCAACACAGCCCCCCCCCCACCACCACAAAAAGAAAATGGACAATAGCACATGGCTGTGATCGATGAGTAAAAAAAATAATACATTGCCAGTTTTCTGTTGGGTAGTGTTTTCCAAATTGCAACATAGGGAAGTTAAACCCAAATGAAGGTTATGTGTCTACCTCACTTCGTGTAGAAGAAAAAAAAGACTGGCATTCAGGATACAAAAGCAAGAGGAATTTGTGGGACAAGGTACTAGAAAGAAGAGAGCTGCAGAGGAGGAGCTCAAGAAACCTGGACTGGGATTCTTTTTACCTTGGTCCAAATATTGAGCTGTACATGTATAGGGCAGGACTCTGTGAGACTTTACAGAGGAGTTGCCAGGGGCTGTGAAGCTTAATGGGGATTCTGGAAATTACAGCACTGGAATATGTTGGAGCTCTGACATACAGAATGGAGACACCTTGCTCAACACTTCAGGCACACAGCAAATATAAAAGAACACTGTTTACTTCATGAAGTTTAGGGCTTTATGCTGGCAGCAAGTGGATAGATAAAAGCAAAAGAAATAAAGGGAGTAAGGTTGATGTATCAGACAATTTTAATTATTGTTTTTCTTTTTTTTTTTTTGCTGTACGTGGGCCTCTCACTGTTGTGGCCTCTCCCGTTGCGGAGCACAGGCTCCGGACGCACAGGCTCAGCAGCCATGGCTCACGGACCCAGCCGCTCCGCGGCATGTGGGATCTTCCCAGACCGGGGCACGAATCCGTGTCCCTTGCATCGGCAGGCGGACTCTCAACCACTGCGCCACCAGGGGATTATTGCTTTTTAAGTTTAAGTGAATCTTACATAAAAACTGAAAGTGACAGTAAAAGTCAAATTAAAGGAAAACCGAACTTTTACAAACATGTATAGTTCGACTAAAAAAGAGAAAACACATTTCAGAGTCCTATATCTACAACTTTGGTAGCAGCAAAACCAAAAACCCAATAGATAAAGCTCTTGATAAAGATCACTATAAACATCCCACAGTAAGGCTGAGCAATACTTTCTCTGTCTGCTCCTGTTTTCAGCCTACAAGACCTGTTAATGCTTATTAAAAATCATCATCTCATATTTCTCAGGCTGGTGATGATATAACCCAAAGTTGGCTAAAGAAAAATCTTAATTCAACTTAATATTTCCTTGGTTTTGACTCAGCACAAATATAACAGATTTGTGAGTCTAAACCAGAGTGATACTGAGCCATCTACAGTTTTCTTTGGCCAAATTTAAGTTTTATCAGTTGACCCTGAATTGCACAACCTAAGTGTAGACACCTGAAGTTGTGTATAAACTGATTCTTTTTAGGAGAGCCTAATTTACATTTTGGTGAATTAGAAGGAGTACGGAGTAGACAGGGCACTAAAGCAAGAAGCCACTTTTTAAAAAAAAATTAATTTATTTTTGGCTGCGTGCGGGCTTTCTCTAGTTGCGGCGAGCAGGGGCTACTCTTCGTTGTGGTGCGTGGGCTTCTCATTGCGGTGGTTTCTCTTGTTACGGAGTACGGGCTCTAGGCGCGAAGCCTTCAGTAGTTGTGGCTCATGGGCTTAGCTGCTCCGTGGCCTGTGGGATCTTCCTGGACCAGGGCTCGAACCTGTGTCCCCTGCATTGGCAGGCGGATTTCTAACCACCGCGCCACCAGGGAAGTCCCCAAGAAGCACTTTTTAATGGCAAGTAACTAAAACCACGCTGTTCTTTTGTTCGCATTCTGGAGCTCGTCTCACATGGTGATGAGGTGGCACTGTGAATTCTCTGCTAGTTTATCTGCACTACCAACAACCACAGTAAGAGAGACAAGGGCTCTAGAGTACCTGTGTCGTCCCTAATCTGGCAGGTTCCATACAACTCCTTTCATTTTTATCTAAGTTCATTCTTTCACGATCTGCCTTTTGTTCACTGCACAAACTCTTTTTAACCTCTTTCCCAGACCTTCTGCCAAGGGGAGCTACTTAAACCATTTGTTGTTTCACCTCTGCTTTCTGTTTATTTCATTTGCATAAGACTTTTCTCACTTTAATAACATCAATGTAAGAAAGAATTCTATAATTGGGAAAAATGGACATGGCCACCAGGTAGTTCAGCTTTGGATTCTCTGCTGCAACTGTTCAGCTCCAACTTGTATTCTTGCCATATTTGACTCTTGTCGTTGCAATAACATGAATACTCTACCTATTCCTTCTTGGCTATTTTCCTGTCTCCCCATTAACATATTCTATTTCTACTAACCACATCTAACCTCTCCAGTAAGATTTCCTTCTGACCAATGCTACTCAGTACTGGCATTTTAGAATTTGAGAACTGAAAGGGACCTCATGAAACTACAGACTAACTCCCTATAAAGAGATGTTAGGGTGACCTGTTTAAAGCTACAAAGCTACTTGGTGCCATATCTGGATACCACATTTGCTTTTTTTTCTCAGAACGTACCCACTGTCGCATATCTAGACACATAGCATATAACAATAACCTTTCTATTTAGTGAACAAACAAGTTCAGAATCCAGGGGATAGACATCTGGAAAGGTAGGGCAACATAAAAATCTTTCTTACAAAATATCCACAAAAAAACTTCATTTAGATCAGTCTTAGATGGATTACTTCTCAGCATTTGAGGCTTTAGAACACGGTAAAATAACAGGAGAGATAATATATACAAATGTGATCATGCCTTATTTCTGACAATTATAAAAAGAGGTATACTGGCTAAGTTGATTTTCTTGATCGTAGACATTTTAATTTGGTATTTAAAGGGTTAATAGTTTTACACAAAATGGTTTCCAAGACACCTCTCATGTTTTCCCTACTTTCAAAACTTGAGATATGATTTAACCTTTTCTGTATATGTAGGGTCCTTGCTATGAACAATTACTACTATATTGTACTGTAACGTATCAATTTACTTTCAGGATCTCTTTGTCCCTACAAATGACTCTAAACTGTTGTGCTCTTCTGGTTGGCCTTCCTTCTCACTCTTTTATGGTCATCACTGTCAGTGAGTCTACTTCTGTACCCACCAATTGGC